ATTATATAGAAGTGTAAAAGGAAATGTAATTTATCTACCTATTTTCATTTGTAATGTCTTTAATTATTATGTTTTATTTCTATAAATAAAATAACTGGTGAGGTGCTACATTGTGATATATGATTTTATTTATGTGTCCTATACTTACACAAAACACCCAGAACATTCTTTAAATAGTTGTGGTCCTGTGAAAAATTGTGTACATAACTCGTTGGAAAATGTATTTTATGTACTTGTCAAATTTATTATCCACACTCACAGATTAATCAGAATATTTTTTAGTTAACTTCAGTATACCTCTTACTACTAGAACTATTTTTATCACTGGAAAAAAGGGGCCGTGTTTTCGTATGTTCTGAAGCATTTTCGGCCTCAACCCTTTGAACCTCCTCCCTCTAAATATATATGAATTTTGTTTAGAATTGCTAACCCTACAATTCTCTATCCATTTTTGCTGACTGGGAAAATAAATAATGAAAATCGTCACTGTCTCCTTGACTATACAGTTAGTAGATTATGATGAGGCGCTGACAGAAATATTTTACAAAGAAAATCGGTTTTCTCACTCCGATTTAGATATGGCGTGATGGCTACACAACAAATACAATTTTATCAATGGCTAGTTGGCGATGTGGTCCCGAGTCCATGGACATTAAAATCGATAAAGAAACCTACATCTTTTTCGAATACTAGAAGATTCGGCTAAATTTCTGATATTTAAAACTAGCGTGCTGATCAGGCATTAATTAGACAATTAAAAATGTATTAAACAAACACTTTCTTTTAAATATTTTGCAGTTAGAATTGTGACAAAAGGCAAAGGTTTTAAACCAGCTAAAAGTATATACGCTTAAGTTGAGTACGATATTAAAACACTGCGTCTACATTGGAGCGTGGAACTCAGGCTGAGAATGTGCCAGCTGAGTTTCTTGAACAAAAATCCATAATTGGTGACCTTCGAATGCGACCAACATTGCTCGATCTAACCGATCGAACACCGAAATTGAGGGCTTCACAACTTTCAGCCTTGCTTTAAATATACTAAACATATAATATATTTCTATTTAAAAATAGTATTTGTAGACAACGTTATACATTTTTATTTTATATTTATATAAATTGGTTTCCCCTTGTACTGGGGAGCTGTAGAGACAAGCCGCCACTGAACGAGTGAGAATAAATAACAAAGCATACATTTAATTATTTAATATTACATCAATGGCAGACGTGTTTGTATTTATAAATAGATTCGTGGGGTCGATTCCAAAATATCCTAATGAGGAATGACATGATGTAGGAAAAGGTTAAAAGGCACATATTTTCGTCGCTCCGATGAAAATCTGGAAAGGCATATAAAATTGTCTAGAGGTTATGCTGAAAATGTATTATAAAATGTATGTATGGGCGATGTTTATGAGGTCGAGGTGTTGAGGCAACTCAATATGAAAAATAAACAAATGATAAATCAATATTCGATATACAGTATGGAACAATAAAATGGAAAAAAAATAATATTTTTTGTTGTACGTAGGTTGGCGGGAAATGAAATTTTTTTTTATTAATATTATTAGGAAAAACAAGTAAACAATGCGGAGGAGGTGTCTTCATTGGTATAAATAAAAAATATATATCTTCACCAATATCAATTAACTTACCATTAGAGACAATCGTTGTAAAACTAAAATTACACGGTACCACAATCATTAATTCGACTTATATTCCACCGGGTTCAAATGCTAAAGTTTACAGGTAATACCTAGATTTATTCGATAGTTTAGATCCCCTAATCACTCAAACCACACACTTGGTACTCATTGGTGATTAGTGATTACAATATACCTTGTATAAATGTCACATATTTTCAATTTTCTAATAAAAATGATATGATACAAACAATATATTTGATAATGGCTACTTACAATCTACAGTCTTACAACAATTGTCTTAACTAGGATCAGAAAACTATTGATTTGGTGCTTGGGAATATGAATTTGAATATAGAGAAGAAATTAGAAACTTTAGTTTCCATAGACAAAAAACATCCCTCTCTTGTAATTAAAACAGAAGTTAAAAAAGTAACAGACTCACATACACAAACAATAATCTTTAAAACAGATATATTTTTTAAAAACATTGATTTCAGATTACTATGTGAACTATTAAGGGATTTTGATTGGTCAAAAATTGGACACTGAAAAGGTTGATGTTTCTGTCAAATATTTTGACCAGCAGTTGCACCTTCGAACTTCGTAGAAATAGCAAAGAGCAAAATATAGAGATAGAGAAGAAATTTCTTTCTATCGTTAAAACGCACCGCCGATAGACTTTTCTATAACCGATCGGAAACGTTCGGATTTATCTATGCTCTCTCGTTTTTCAAAATAAGCCAAAATCATTGGGTACGTTTGGGGATTTTCGAGAAAAAATATATTTTACTAAAAATATTAACCAGAAAAGCGAGGAAGAAAGCGAGGTTAGGTTAACTTTATTTCTGTTTAACTTTGTTTTGTGAAAATAAAAACTAAGTAGGTAATTGTAAAAAAATGATACCAACGTTTTATAACGAATTTTATGACGCGGAGCAGGAGAAGTAGAGGGAAAAACTTGCCAGAGAAAGACGAACTCTAAGAGATGAAAGTAATCCATTCGAATTGCCAGATGAAGAATTTAGAAAGTTGTACAGGCTTACAAAAGAATTGACTCAAAATTTAATTAATGAACTTGAGCCTCACATGGACCCCGGACAAAGAAACATAGGATTACTTTTAGATGTAAGAGTGCTTGCTGCTTGCGGTTCTTTGCTCATGGATCATACCAAAAGTTCAGTGGGGCAAACCAAAATGTCTATGTGGCCTAACAAACAATGAGCGTCTGATCCGCGAAATATGCAATGCTATTGCAAATATTGCTCCTAGGTACATAAAATTTCCTACAACTGTAAAAGAAAAAGGCATAAAAAATGAAAATTTTTGGAATTTATTTAATTTTCCTGGAATTGTGGGCTATGTAGATGGCACACATGTAGCAATTGCCAAACCAAATGAAGATGAACAGAAACCGGAATCATTCGAAGAATGTTCAAATAATTTAGGTGATGCAGATTTAACCATTTTAAGTATAAATGCAAATTTTGGTGGGGAAACAGATGATTCTTTCATTTGGCGAAACTTTGCAATCAAAACTTTTTTGGAAGAAAACTTTTGCAATGGTGATCACAACACTTGGTTCTTAGGTGATAGTGGTTACCCTCAGCAACCATGGCTGATGACTCCAATACGAAATGCACAACGAGATTCACCTGAAGAACGCTATAATGCTGCTATAGTTTCTGCTCGGTGCAGAAAGGTGTATAGGTAAATAAACTATTGTATACAGTAATAAAAATATTATTTATTAATCGTATTATTTGGTTTCAGGAGTTTTAAAAATGCGGTTTCGATGCATACTCAAAGAGCGAGTTCTAAGGTATGCTCCTTTCAAAGCATGACAAATTATTAATTGTTATGCAGTGCTGCATAATATCTGCGTCATGGGGAATGTGCCATTAGATGAGGAAAATGAAGAAGAGGATGAAAGTGATGATGATGATGATGATAATAATGATGAATTACGCAACAACGCACCGCAAAATGTTGTAGTAGAAGGACAGCAGAGACGTCAGCATTTTGTCAATGCTTACTTTCAATAATTTGTTGTTTTAATTGAATGCAAAGATGTAGTATTTTCAAAAGTAATATAAAGTGAGGAATTAAATATTGGTATTTATTATCAGTAGGTAACACTAGATGTTTTCTTAAAACTAAACAAAAAAACTTGTTCTGAGTAACACAAATGTTTTCCTAAAACTAAGTACATAAATAAAAAACTCATTCTGAGTATCAACCAAGTTTTCTTAAAACTAAGTACTTAAACAAACAAAAAAAAATCATTCGAGGTATCACAGACGATTTCCCAAACTAAGAACTCATTCTGAGTAATATAAAATATTTTAATAAATAATCAAGTAGAGAGCCTTCCTGAAAACTAAGTTATTAAAAAATAACTCATTCTTCGGAGTATCACAAAAATTCCCTTAAAACTAGGTAATAAGAAAATATATACAGGGTGTCCCATTACACATGTTCCACAGGAATATCTCGGGAGGTGCAAAAGTTAAAATCTTGAAATTTATAGATTTATTTACACTTCTATAGTTCTTCAAAATTAACCTACCACTAAACTGGCATCAAGAACCATTTAATTTTTTTAATTGACACTATTTTTTTACTTTTTGAAATCTACATTAAATTGCCTCTACAATGGTATATTACAAGTCATATTTAAGTTTTAAAATAAAATAAAGAAAAGCCTTGGCAGTACTTCAGCAATGATTATTTATTAATAATAATACTCACCTCTAATTCACCCCCTTACGAGTGAATTTAAACCCCTGGTCTCTGGTGCGACTTAAAGATGATTGACATACAGGTAAGGAAAACCCGGAAAAACCTCACCTACCATAGCATACTTAAAATTAAAAAGTCTAGGTAACTTTTAAGCGATGATTGACTTCAACTATTAGAATTATTTTTGCTATTTTAAAACAGAAATATAACTTGTAATATATCTTTGTAAAGGCAATTGAATGTAGATTTTAAAAAGTAAAACAAAATATACAGGGTGTAATTTAAAAAGTAGTACTCATTTACTGTTAAACCAAAAGTGCCACCTTTTTAGTGGCACATTACTTTTGAAGAACTTTAGGTGTGTAAATAATTCTAACAATTTCAAATTTTAACTTATGCTTTTCCCTAGATATTCCACTGGAACCTGTATGATGGGACACCCAGTAAACAAAAACAGAAAATCACAGCAGTTGTATTAGATATTACAATTTATTACAATTATCTGTTAGTCTGTACTTAGGATCATATATGATCCACTAACCGTTTGAAATAATTTTTTATTTCTACTATGGATATCACTCTAACTTTATTATCTATATTCTTCAAAACATCTAGTTATTCTGAGTGCATCTTATTTATTGATACAAATCTTCTTGATTTTATTGACTGTGTTGCAGTCTTCTTTTTTTTTATTTCTGCTGCATGATCATTTTGGTAAGTTTTTCTTTTGATGCTGGCTGTTATGGCAGATGTTGATGGATTTTTATCTTGCATTTCATTTAATGGAATGAGAGGTGGCACTTCCACAGTGTTTTCTATAGAAGTGATAGGTGGCACTTCCAAAATGTTCTTATTGTGAACTTTGTCATAACGCTCTTCCACTGTTTTGCTTTCTTAAACTTTTTACTGTAAAATAATAAAATATTAAGTATAATAATGTTCTACAAATTAACTATAAAATGAACAAATCCCAGCTCAAAATTACTATCGCCTTCAACAGATTTCCAGCCGTAAATTGTCATTGGGCGCTCTTCGATTGCATTCAGTGGTAAAGCCATAGATGGGCCACCACCGGTTTTTAAACTTTCACTACTGAAAACTGACGCTTTACACTTAACTTTGAATTTCCATCTTCCTATAGCCTAAAAATAATTAAATTAAATAACTAAATGATGTACTTTTCTAGATGTAAAGTATAATTTTTGAGAAATTATATAATTAAGATACTTTTTGAGTGCATTACACACCAATAAACTTAAGGCTAAATTTACACTCAAGTAATAGAGGAACACTTTTAAGTATTCTCAGATTTTATTACCTGTTGCCATTTTTCAATTGATTTATTGCCATTCTCTGGGCTATTTAATTGGGCAGTTAAAATTTTCCATAGGTTTTTATCTCGGAATTGTCTTCCGCATTGCTGGAAAATGTCCTTCTTAACATTTGTGGATACTGTTTAAAAAAATCCACTGCAACTGTCCAATGCTCGGTCGTAGTTTTAAACTCACGCTCGCAAATATCTGTTAAAATAGAACCTTTTTATTAATACCTATACTAAAAATTACTTTATTTTATAATAAACTTACCAATGATTAGATAAACAGACACTTTACGTGACACACAACAAACCAAGCTTTTAAATTTGAGGTTAAAAAAGGCATAGAAAGAAAGACCACTAGCCCTCTTTCCAAAGACATTACAACATAGAGACAAAATGTTTCATTCCTAAATTCCATACAATTGCGTTATTGTTTTAAAATTGTTAGTGAGTGAAAGAGAGAAAGACAGATCTCGTAGGACCGGCTGGCAACGTTGTAAACAGTGTCCTTAATATGCTCGCCAGTGGCGTAAAGTTTTAAACTTTTAAACTTGGTTTATAGTTTATTGGTATTTACTATATATTTGCCTGGTATGATGTTAACCAAAATTATTTAAAATTTTAAATTAACATTAAGTTTTTTTAATTAATAATTAAAAAAAAGCATGGTATGGCAAAAAATATCGTAAAAAAACTGTAAAAATGTTTAAAATAACGTTTTAAATATAATAAATATCTTAATTTTATTAACTAAAATTTCACTTAATTTTTTATGCTTAGTTATTAGTGTTACTACTTACTGCAATTTTTTTTTGCAGTAGGTGGTGTTCCAAAAACAGTTAAAACGGAACTAAAAACCCATATATTAAAAAAGTTTTCTATATGGTTCCAACACTGTATATTATATTTCTAGATAAATATGAAATTTTCGTTATTATACAAATACGATCCTGTTTTCGCCAATTGCAAGCAGTTGACAACATTTCCTCGGTTCGTCTATCCAATCATTTCTCTAAAACTAGTTTCAAGGCGCTGCTGTTCGAAACTCTTGCTCTTCCCGTTTCAGAAATGTAATTTGGCTGGTTTCAAGATCTTAACGATTTACTTACTTATTTAATTAATATTGCTCTCTTGGTTACAAAAACAACTAAAGTATATTTTTGGGATAAGGAAATCGCACAATTTTCAATTTCGCCACTAAGTGCTTTTTATTTAACATATTTATATCGATCTGTGGTTTTTGTAAATTAATTGTGGGTTTTCTTAAGTGAAAATTTTAAGTAGCAATGAGTGAAAGTAGTGATGGTAAACTGGAACAGTCTAGTGAAAAGTTAAACAATTACATAAATTCACGTAAAGAGAATAGATCCAAATCGGTTGTTTGTCCAGATGATAAACGATTTTTAAATATAAACTAACAAAAAAATCAACTGATAAGAACAGAAGAAATCGAGACCAGGTCATAAAAAAAGACAAAAGTGAATAAACATGTTTACTGACTGTTTTTGAAAATAATGGCCAACAAATGAGTACAGAATCAGTGCTTCTGGATGAAAACAATATTTTCAAGCCTTGAAATTCGCCACCGATTTTATCACCGTATTCACCACCGATGCTAGCAGAAAAGGGTACAAACGGCTCAATTGGAAGTACAAAACAAGCTAGAAGCAATTCCCCAGGTAGAGAGGCATAAAAAAAAAACAGAAATATAACTGTAGAATTGGAAACTGAACAACCTAATAATTAAACTGCTCAAACGGAATTAAAAGAAAGTAGTCTAAACTCTATTGAGACAGTATTAGATTCACTAGCCGTGATCCATTCGATATTGGAAAATGAAAACGTCTAAAATCAGGTAAAGTGAAAACAAATATTGCTAGACAGGCGCTATTTAGTATACATAAAGTGTTAATAACAATGGCATATAAAATATTCAATTTAGAACAGGAAAATTAAATACTTTTACAAAGTGTACATCACTTAAAGCAAGATAACAAAAATGCGAAAGAGCAGACAGCAGAATGTGGGAATAACAAGAGTGAAAAAACAGCATTATTACACAAAAAAGACATTAAATTAGAGTTACTGAACAAAAAGAGGTCCAACATGACTGGCAAACACCTTCTAAAGAAACTAAGCACGAGATGTTAATAAGAATAAATGAAGAAACGGATTCAAAGAACGTAATGCAAGAAATTAAACAAATCTTGGTAAAAAATAACATAAATGAACATGTTAAGAGAGTTGCTTAGTTACAAAGTGGAACCGTTGTCATGGAATGTCACAATGTAAAACAACAAAATAAGATAAGAAACGTACTTGCTAAAGAAGAAAATTTTTTGTTAAAGGAGAAAAAAAATACTGATTCCATTTTATTAATTACATCAAATTTCTAGAGGTGTTCGACGCCCAGACAGAGAACGCGCTACGTGTGACTAAGATAGCTATTGTACAGTCTGCTAAACAAGTTATTTTAAATAGTTTTTAATATTTTTAGGTAATTAAATTTTAAAAGTGTGGAATAGTTTAGGGATTAAATTGGTCTGATTGGACTTTCTTAGAACGTTTTTAAAAGCAACTAAAGATAGTATGTAGAATTGAAAATAATTATTATGCCATAAAAGGTGTTTTGGAATTCCTTCAATCTTTTGAAATTGAGTCAGAAAATATAAATTTTATAGGATAGCGGAAAATACCTACAATTTTTTTGTAGGCCTTTGTAAATCGTGGAAATAGTTTATATTTTATTTCTACCTTATTAAGGAAAATGGTACCTATTATTAATAACGGTTGTTTCTGAAACATTACTAAAATTTTCGAAATTTTGTTTTTCTACAAAATAATAAACTATACTATTTAGAAAAAAATTTATTTCTCTTATAATTTTATAAAAAATAACAGGGGAATATTTACATTTCTTGATCTATTAAACAAAACGATAAATTATCTCGACGAATGACACCATGTTCTAGTACGGAAGCTAGCTTTACATTTTTGTTGGTGGTTTCATGGGTTTCATATCAATTTTTTGTAATTGTAGTTTACACGTACATATACCTCTTAACACTTGTTTGCTTTATTAAAAAAGTGTGTTGTTGTGATTTACGTCGAAATAAGTCAAAAACAACTTGAAACCCCATACAAAATCAAAAAGGAGAAACGGAAAAAAATTGAGCCTGTAAATGAACACAACTCAGAAACAAAAATAGCTATCCAATAATAAAAAAATAAAATTTGATTCTTGTGCAGCTTCATCTATATCATTAACTGTTTTTGGTTTTTTAATGGTTTTTCTTGGTGATGAAAATTCCGATATCTCACGGTTATCGATTCTTTTTTTCTCTCCAGAAATGCGGACGACAGTGTTTTTAGATACTCCTGTGGCTGCAGCAACACGATCATTTACATTTTTAAATGGTATTAAAGGTGAATTAAAGTTTCCTTCTCTTCTCATAAACTCTATAACATTGGCTATTATTTCGCGAGATTGACTGTTAATCACGCGGCCTCTTAATTTGCTATTAAACTCCATACTTAGGTTCTATTAAACTGTAATGAGCAAAAAACACAAACGAAAATAAAAGAAATGTTTTAGCGAAATTTACATCTGACATTTACGTCTGAATGAAATAGTGAAATACTTGATGCGCAGAGTGTACTTTCAATGCGTAAATCCGTCGGGATGCCTGTCAGTAGTGCTTTCTCTGTCTAGCCGTCGAAAGCCTCTAGAAATTTGATGAACTTTATCGAGAAATGATATGAACTAAATGAATTTATACAAGAACTCATAGAGCAAAACCCAGATAGCAAAACCTGCTTTGATTAAAATGTAATAGATAATATAAGATATATCACAAGAAAACAATGCAGAAATCAAAGAAAGCAAAATTGGATATTACAGATGAAACCAAAAGTCTTTACATGGTTCATTGGGAATGAAAAAAATCTATTACGAAACCCACACTAAAGATGACTAAAAAAGAATCTTTAAAAGATGCTAAACTTTCTAATGCCACCAAGGCCGCAATACAAGAATATTATCAGAAAAACCCCAACGATATCTCCCTACCTGTGCATAACTTTATTTCTTACATAGAAAATACCTTTGAAGCTTTGCAATTTACCTCAAATGTTAGATCTCTACTCATAGACATGCAGCTAATATATCCTGAAATACAAGATCGGTCAAAAGTCTTCCTATTAACCCATTAGCTATATCTACAAAGAACAACTATATTTTTTATCTTCAAACTAATCCAGTGGAATTGCGATGGATTCAACAGTCAATATCTGACACTAATGTAGATATTTTTTATCTACAAGAAACCAATTTTAAGGAATCCCACAAACGTAAACTCAAAGGATTCGAAGGTTGTCATTTCATCAGAACTTCCGGTTTAATTGCAAGTGGGGGAACTTCTATATTTATTTCTAATAATCTGTACTCCAAATACTTACCTCTAATTACTAATATCGAAGCAGTAGCTGTTAAAGTTTGGCTTCCAGAAAAAGTCACTATTTGCAATATTTATATTCCTCCTACTTATTCATTATTTGAAACTGAACTAACCAATCTTATAAATCAGGTACCTCCCCCTTTTATACTAGTCGGCGATTTTGATGCCCATAACACAATGTGGGGTTCCTAAAAGACTTTTGGCAGAGGAAAAACTGTTGAAAACGTTTTAAACAACACTAGTGTATGCCTTCTTAACACAGGATTCGTCCCTCATTTTAATATATCTTCTTGGAACTTCTCATCAATTAATCTAAGTCTGTGTGATCCGAAAACTATCTCTTTCTATTTCTGGGAAAAATCAGAGT